AGAGGAAATCCAGCATGCCAGGTGTCTGAAGGCTTTTATGCTAATACTATATGAGCCCACCTGTTCTGGCTGTACTGCTGTAGGACTTCTGTATCCAGCATAATAATATTTGTAAAATAGCACGTTAGGTCTTGTTGCTCTTTGTCAAAATTCTGAATGGGTTTCTCATTCCACAATGAAAACTGTGGAACAAGCAAACTGTAAAACCCCCAGTTAATATATATGTATTGAATCCTGAACACCTTGGTGCTGCTTTCTGCCCACATTTGTGTCACCTTACGTGCCAGAAGTGGAACTTTCCCTTCTCAAAGATAGGAGCCTGCTGTCACAAAGTGAGTTCCTGTTTTTCAACTGTCAGACTTCCCCTTTTTTCAGAAATACAGGTGGAGTTGTGCTACTCCTCTATGCTGATAATAAGGCTATACTACTTTTTTTCCCCAATATAACGCAGTTCTTTCCTACAGACCTCTCTTTCTAATTGCTAGGATGCCAGTTAGCTTCTTCAATTCTGCAAACCACGCTTTTAATGTGAACTGTTTGGCAGAGCAGTTGGTAAAGTTACTGGATTTGTAAGGTAAATGCATTTTAGTTGGAACAGAGCCCTGATTTGAGAAGACATTTAAGCACCTGCAAAACTTTCTGCATGAATATTGTCACTAAAATTTCCCCAGTTGATTGTCCTAAGAACCACCTACAAGACAGACTAAAATGCCTATAATTTTGTATTTTGAAGTGAAGATAAAGCTAGTTTTTCCACTAATAATTCAACTGCACACTATTTGGCTGCACTAACCATGATTTACAGGCCTTGGGGCCAGCATATTACATTTTTTTGTTTGAAATTCCTCCCCTGCAGAGATAGAAATTCAGTCATGAGACTGCTGCAGAAAACAGGAGGAAAAGAATCTTGGGTTTTTGTCTGCTCTATCTTTTCCTCCTAAAATATATGACAACTGCCCACTGTTGTGGCTACTGCTGATCTCTTCTATCATGCACTTTCTTGTTGTTATCACATTACCTTTGACCTGGAAGCGTATCAAAATGACTCAAGTTTTCCATGAGAGACTTCAGAAAGATCACATTTTCTGATAACGTACCGTGCCCAGTGATGAGTTGGGGATCAAAGGCACAGCTTGGTAACCTCAAGGAGTGTGAGTTTTCTGCCTCTGTCTGGTTTCATAAAGTTTCCATCTATGAAATGTCACTGTTAGATTACAGCCTCTGCTCCTACCTTTTCCAGGAGTCGCTGCTTTTGGTGGCCAGGCTGCAGGCAACCCAGAGAGGTGACTCATTTCGTAGGCTAAAGCAGGGCTCTGCTGTGTGTGCACCAGGCTCCTTAGCGCTGCTCAAAGGTAGGATCCAGGAGTCTGGATAACTTTTTCCAGGTGAGGAGAATTCAACTTGCCTAGAAACCCACACGTGGCTCCATGTGAGCCATTTGCATTGCCACAGCCCCAGCCTTATTGTAGCAGGTCTGCAGGACGGTAATGCTCCCCATGGGCCAAAAGAGGGCGGGCACTGAACAGGCACACTGCAAGTATCCCAGGCTCTGGGAGCTGCCAGTAGTGCAAGCTCTGCTTAGTCCAAAGTCTTGAGTCTGGGTTGAAGTTAGTCCAGCAGAACTGAAAGGAGCATGTGAGGTTTTGTCTTCTAGTTTCCATCTGCAGCTGAGTTACTGTTCTGTAAGCTTTTTCTTCCCTGGTCTGTGGATGTTGTTCTATGTCATATGATATCCTGCTGAGCAAGAAGGGACTCAACAGATGAATGTCCTTGTGACACTGGGCTTACCATGTGCCCCATCTGCTTCTTCACGTGTCCTGCAGCCCTCCAGAGCTGCTGCTCTGCTCGGGCTCCCTGGCACAGCAAGTCACGCAACCACATGTGAGATAACCCTCCTGTAGCTGTCATGGTATAGTAGAGGGCTCTATAATAAAGACTGGCAGATAGTTATAGCCAAATTCTGTAACAAAAGTGTGAATCCTCTAGCTTATGATGGAGTTATCTACCATGGGATAAAAGGAGCTGATAAGAGAGAGCTAGCAAGGCAACATCTACCTTGATCTATCGTTAGTCATTCAAGAAATTACATAGATTTCATGTGGATAACCTCTTACTTGAAGAATTACATAAATTGCTGTTTTGGTCAATGTCAGGAAACCTGTCTTATCATTGATAACACTGGTAAAAGCAGCATCAGTAGAGCTACTGAACTTTCAAGAAATAATTACATTTGAGAAGTGGTTACTTTGTTTTTTTGTTGTTCCTCCCAACCCCCCACCAGCAGATTGGTAGATCCATTGGCTCCAAAGAAGAAATCCATCTTTCCCAGGACTCTTAATGCATTGTGGCTCCATGCTCAGAATCAAGGCTCTTTTATTGAAGACAGTCCTAAAATGCTGACCCCTTCATTCAAGGCTGAGGAATCAGAGCATTAGAGACCATTCAGCTTGAATTCCAGTATGGTTCCTTGCAGAGTGTCTCTTTGAAGGGACCATGGCAGCAGCAAACTCTGAACCCCAAGGTATTTCTGAGCATCTCAGCTGACAGATTCATCTCTTTACCTGTTCTTGACAGTTTTGTGCCAGCTATGCCTTTTTACTTCATGCAAAAGAGAAAGCATGGCATGAAATGTGCTCAGGCAACCGTGAAGACCACGTTGCTTCTTATGACCTTGTAATTTTGAACACAGGTCATATAGGTTGACAGAAACTGCAGGCCTCTGCTTGCCTAGGAAACTGCAGACTGTGAGGATTACTGGTAGCCAAAATGTCTAGTTTTAGTCAAATGTTGTCCAGTTAATCCTCTAGCTTCTTAATAAAACCACCAAACTGAAGGTGAGGAGATAAGGAACTAGTGCTGATTTGATTAGTGACGTGGTCATTTGTTCTGTCAACAGGTGCAGATCTGGCTCAGGTACCAGCATGAGGCCTGGCAGCATCAACGTGTGTCACACATGGGACTGAGCAAGAAAGGAGTCAGCAGATGAAATGTCAGTACCTCAGAGACAGGTAAGATTAGCTTCAGAAAAACCCCGAAGATTCTGAAGACAGACAATTGAGCTGCCTCTAAAAGGTCACTGCTGACACTAGTGGTTTAGTCTTGCTGTGTTTGTCAGTTTTCTGACTGTAATGTTCCATCATCTGCCAGTGCTTGCACCCAACTGTAGTAGTTCAGCAAGAGTGAGGACATGTGAAGACCAATTCATAAAGCACCCATATTCCAAAAATTGGAGGAAAACAAGCAATTGATTCCTATTGTGATACAGACCAGCAGTATTGCTGTTAGAATGGCCTGGGACGAATCTTAACGTAACCGTGGTCAGGAATTTGACCATGAAGAAATTCTTTAACCATAAAGAAATTCTCTGTATTCCCATCCTGTTCTGACACAAGCTAAGGATAATGTAAATATCTGCAGAGGTGGTCAGGGCTGGTGTGCATTTCAGAAGTGGTCATAATTGATAAGCCTGTAGAACATGTTGCAGCACTCAGTGCTGTTGCCTAATAATTTGACTTGACTGTAAGACTGTAGACTCCTGTGTCCCTCACTGTCTTCAGAGGATGAGGTAGAGGTCTGTGTGCTGCTGACTGCACCTTGTTTTCTAGCCAAGAGAAGCCCTCTGGTCACTACCTGTAATTTCCGTGCGTTGCCCAACACTCATGATTCTGTTTGAATGCACTGGTGGCAGGAACCCTAACACAGGGTACCAGCACTTGGTAGCCAGCTGGGCAGCAGCAGGCTGAGTGTCTCTGGGTTTCTGTGTAGCATGAGTGGCACAGGCTGTCAGTATTATGAGGAGCAGGGCAGTGAGGGAAGAGGAGGGGATCTCCTGCGTGGCTGGCATACAAACTAGCAGGCTTGCAGTTTCAGAAGAACAACAGTTGGCCTTCTGAGGGGGTTTTCTGGGGAAAAAAAAAAAAAGCCAAATCAAACCACTGGTTCTTGACCTTTAGCCTGGCAGCAGCTAGATGGGATGCAGGCTTTTGGCAGAAAGGTTCCACCTAGAAGGATCTATTGCATGCCAAATTTATCTGATTGCTTCCAGCTCGTGACAGGAGCACAGGTAGATAGATGAATAGATCAAGGACCAAGTGAAGCACCTGCTGCTTGACCACTCTGTGAGCAATATGGATGAATATTCAGGAAGAAAGCACAGAGCACAGCAAAGGAACAACGATAGGATCTGTGTGGGAAACTTATTTAGGCATCACTGGCTTGTATTAAACTAAAGAAACAATATAGCAAGCCCTATGAAGAGCAAGTCAAATGCCAAGGTATGGTATTTTCCACTGGAACTCATTTCTCAAGTCTCATTCTCCTTTGCCTTGACCTATGTGTCATCATATGCAGTGTGGAAAAGAATCCATTCCAAGCTCTTTGTGTCTGAATTCACCAGTTCAGTTGAGAACAAGATTGGATTTTAAAGCTTGTCTTTGCTATGCACATAAATGTAACCACAAAAAAGCAAGCTATCTAAACATAAAGCAGTGTTGGAAGCGTGTGTCTGTGTTTGTGTAAAACAAGACTGCGTGAAATTTAAATCCAGCAGCAAGACATGATTACAGGTGATATGTCTGTACCTATGTGTAATTTCAGTATAATTTTGTTGAGGAGCTGTTTTCTGCTACTTGCATCCCAGGAAAGTGAGGACAGAGGATCTGCACGAGTCCCTGCAACTACTCTCAATTATGGCATCAGGGCTGATCTTGGAGCAGTATTATTTCCTCTTGGTTTCGTGGTGTCTGTATGGAGTTACATCAGCTATGAAAATAAGAGTCTGCTGAACCAGTGTGAAGGACTTGAAAACAGTGAACAGAATCAAGAAAATATATGGATGTATGGCCTTAATGTACATTGCATATCCCATAGCTAAATCCTTGAGTGTTTCTGAATTCTCTAGGAGCTATAAGCCAGAATTAAATAGTCTGAAGTTCATGCTGTGCTTTAATTTGCATTAATTATCAATTGTATATCAACTCGCAAAACCCACTGAAAATCGAATTATGTCTTTCTGCATCTTACTCCTCTCCTCATTCAAGTCACTGGCACAAGATTGCTTAGCCCTCTAAGCATCTGATGGTGCAAAGCAGAAGCGTTTCCCCGCCCCTCAAAGAACCAGGAAGAGCAACCACAGGCACCACTACAAAAAGCGCAGTACCTTCCCATAGTCTCAGGTGGAGGAGAATTTTAGCAGGGGAAGTCCTGATAGAAGCCCACCCTTGCTTGCTTTGGGGCTGTAGAGCTTGAGACATGACTGGACGGAGAAGAGAAGTCTGTCTCCTCAATACTCGAGCTCGCTTGCTGCTGGCAATGTACCTGTGGCACTGGGCACAACAGACTCTGGCAATATCGTGCCCTGATGGTGAGCTGAGAGCCATTGCTAAGGATGTAAAGAAATGCTGCCCCAAATGCCTCTCCAGCACAGGTAAGGGAATACGTTTGTCTTCTTTCAGGTGTGTGTGTGTGCTTTGAGTAATTGTGTATTCAAAACAAAACCGCGAGGATTTCCTTTCTGCCCCACTAAATTCAAAGTGTCCTTTAGCTGCAGAGTGGACGTGTGTTGAAGGTTTATGTGCCTGTGCTTCTTGCTCTGTAGTAGGAAAGGGACTGGAGGAGGCAGTGTGTTCATTGTCACAGTGGCAAGGAGGACACTGGACCTGGTGGTGACCATGCAGGAGATAGTGGCTGAATGAGCTTTTAGAAACAATGTCATTCAGTTCCTTACTGAGGCTCCTTCAGGTCAGCAAAGGGATGGAGAAAATTAGTGTGAATGTAGTGAAGGAGAGGATCCCTTCTGCTTTATGGGCTGCCTCTGCTCAGTAGCTGGAGAATTCTTGTTCCATGTGGACAGAAAGGCTGTTCCCTCTCACACAGCACTTGCCAGAGGTGCTATCAGGACCCCAGGGTGTTTCTACTCCAATTGACAGCAAGTGATATAGGGTGCAGTAGGAGAGTCATTGCTTGGTTGGATCTGCTCCAGAATCCCCCACTAGTAATACACAGAGAGAAGCATCCTGAAGCTATTTCTTTTTTTATCTGCCTTCGTTACGTTACCAAAACCAATAAGAGGAGGCCAGAGGTGAGCAGAGGAAACTGTGGGCAGTTCCTGGTAGACCCGTACATTCCATCACCAATCTCAGGAAATAATCTTCACAACTTGCTGTGGGTTTTCAAACGTTTCCCTCATTTATTTATTTTTTTCTTTAGGGTCACAAAACCTTTGAGTTGAATAGTATTTTCCTTGAACTGGTCTCCCACTGTTGAAAGAACTGCTTGATAGAACTGTTTGCTGATGGGATCAAGTAGATGCAATTACTCCTTTGCTTTCGTGAACCCAGGAGCCTCACAATTAGAGATGACATCTGTGGGGAGCAAGCAAAGTTCACAGTAGAATTCCTCTGGAAACAGAGAATAGGAAGCATGTTGGTTTTATGGCTCAGATTTAGACTCCCTTCTTCCAGCAGAGTGTAGGAAGTCACAGCTGCTGTTGGGAAAGGCATGGAAAGGGAACTTGGTCTTCATTGGCCAATGGTCTTTTGAGCATCTCTGCTTTGATGATGTTGAGCTTGGCTGAGAAGAGCTCTGGCAGCATTCTGAGAGCTGACTGGATGGGTTATTAATGTGTTTCGTGTGTATCAGCCAGTCAGATTAATGGTGAAATGCATTTCAGTTAAAAGGCAACTCTAAATTCTCTCTTTCTTCATCGCAGGGGACAACAGCCCATGTGAAGAAGCAAAGGATGCAGACTGCAAGTGTCCTCAGGGATTCAGTTGTACTGATAGGTCCTGTTCCTCCTGCACGAAAACTGAATGTCCAGAGGGCAAGGAGCTGATTAGGCTGGGTAACTAAAGAAACACAAATGTCTCTAAAAGGCAAAGCTTAATATAAGTAGCTTGCTGAGCCACAGTTCCATTCACTTATTTCAATCCACTTTTGGGAATACTTGTGATAATAGAGGAGAGACATGGTGTCTATATCATGGCTTCAGTGACTAAAACCCCTATGTGTCCAAAGATGCAAAACTGGCAACAGCTGCTTGCACATCTCTCCAGGAGTGTGATTCATAAAGCAGAAAGAGCTCTAAGCTGTTGTACCTCGGTGTCTTTCGTTAAAGGCACTGACCACTAACAGTTCATGCTCTCTTTTCTCCTAGGTATCATTCACTATACGTATTCATGTAAACCATGTGAGACAGGAACCTATTCTAATGGTAAGAACAGCTGGTGCCAAAGCTGGACTGAGTAAGTATTGATATTTTTGTTCCATGATGACATGCATGACAAATATGTCAGATGGGGAAATTGAATCGGAGACGAGATCACCAGTGAGATTAAATGATTGGGCTTTTTAAATTCACCAGTACAAATTTATCTTCTGCCTTTTTAGCCAATCTCAAAGCAAACCTTAAAGTAAGCTGCTATGTATTAAGCCTGCTTTTAAGTCCAGCACAAACTGATGCAAAATTATGCCAAATATGGGCATCAATTGCACCAAAAATTGAAATAAATATGCATGGAGACAATTTTGATCTGGTATTATCTTCTTATGGGGCAGCTTTAATTTTACCTGCAATGCTATGAAAAAGAAACAAAGGAAATGAGCTATGGAAAGAGCACTGGGAAGGAAGATAAGAAGCCAAGGAAAAAGGCTGGGGAGGAATGAAAGAAAGGGCAGCAGCATTCTAAATATGACTCTTTCTTCTTCTAGTTGTGAAAGTTCTGGCCTCCTAACAATCAAGCAAGGCAACAGCACACACAATTCATTATGTGGCTACCTGGTTAAATATTTGGACCGAGGTATCAGCTCACAATGCTTTGTTTCTTTGAGCCTCCTCTTTCTTTCTGTGTCTGCAGTTGCTGCCCTCCTGCATAAGTGCTACCCAGAGCTTGCTATCATGCTAGCTTGCTTTGAAAATGACAGTTGTGTTTATGCCAGTATAACACAGGTTAGAGTTGTTGACCCAGGCAACCAGCAATTGTCCTGAGAGCACAGCTAGGAAACTTTCAGTTTTCCACTGAAACTCTGCTGCTTAGCTAGATTTTTCTCAGAAGACAATAGTTGAGTGGGTCATTCACTTCCTTTACAAGTATTTGTTCAGTCCACAACACTCAGAACTGAAACTGTGTGTCTCTTCGTGGATCAAACTGCCCAGGAATGACTGTTTGCAAGCTTTGCAGGTACTGAATATCAGAGAAAGCTTCTGTCTCTACCTTTCCCTTATCCCTAGAGGTACCTTTCAGATCCCTGGGCCCTTCATTTAGAGAAGCTATTAGTGCTGCTGAGAGAAACTGCTGAAAGGTGCTACTTTTAATTTCTGTGAGGCTGTCAGAAGTGTGAAAATTTGGCTTACTGTACTGCTTTTCAAGAAAACATTGAAGGTGAATCCCCCTAAAGAGCAAAAATCAAAACAGAGTAGATAGAGCAAGTGACAGTGCTGCTTTTTTCATGAATGCCTTTTACCACAGATAGCGATCCACTGCACCTTTGCCTGGGAGCACCTGAGTTCTATTGCAAACAACTGCACTGCTTTTACCCCAGGCAAATAAATTTCCACAGAAAGAGGAAGTTAATGATGAAATTTCCTTGGAAGCACAGCCTTTCCTTTGGCATTTGTCTGGGCACGCGTTTTCTTATTCTGTGTTGTATATTGAATTGCAGACAATGTTACAAATGATTCTCGGTACACCACTATGCTGGCCATCCTGACAGCAGTGGGTCTATTTGTTCTCATCTTGCTGACCTTCTTCTTGCATCTCTGCATCTGGTCGCTGAAGAAAGAAAAACACCCCACAGCTGACAGTAAGTGTGCTTTGTGGGCCTCCTTGTGGTTTTTCACTGGAGAACAGTGCGTGCTCCAGATTTAGAAGAGAGTAAGTTGAATAAATAGAGTAGATTCTGATTTGCTGTATGATTTTTGGACTAGTTGCTTGGTTTCGCTATGATGCAGTGCCTCAGCTGTATCTTTGCCCCCCTCCTCAGAGTGGGTCTGTGGTGGAAAAGGTAATGGGGCGAATGAGCTGTATGAAGGCCTCTTGCATGTGCAGTGTTTTTGCTTATTCTCACTGCAGATGTGGAACGTAACATCTCTAGGCTGCCGTTGGCTTCACAACCATCCCACCACAGAGAAGAGACTTACAGCTGCCAGTTTCCAGAAGAAGAACATGGAGACAAAATACTGGAAGAGAAACCTTACTACTTCCAACCTCCAAGTCTCCACTGAGAACAGACAAACTGCAACGTGCTGTGAGAATGAGGAGCTGAGCTCAGCTATAAACCAAACAGGAGGGAGGGACTGGGTGCATAAGCATCATTATGTACATAGAAATAAGGAATGGGTTTGGGGTAAGTTTTCAAAGGATCCTAGAATGGCTTGGGTTGGAAGGGACCCGAGAGATCATCTAGTCCAGCTCCCCTACAGTGGGCAGGGTTGCCAACCACTAAATCAGGCAGTGGGTCAGGCTGCCCAAAGCCCCATCCAGCCTAGCCTGGAACACTTCTAGGGATGGGGCCTTCCATGCTGCAAGCACACACTGCTGATTCATATCCAGCTTTTCACCCACTAGACCCCTCAAGTCCTTCTCTGCAGAGGACTGTTCTCATTGAGTTCTTCTCTCAGTCTGTACACGTAGCTGGGATTGCCCCGACCCAAGTCCAACACTTTGCACTTGGCCTTGTTGAACCTCATTAAGTTCTCATGGGCTCACTTGTCAAACCTGTCCAGGTCCCTCTGGATGGCATTCTTTCCTTCTGCCGTATCAACTGCACCACTCAGCTTGGTGTTGTCTTCAAACTTGATGAGAGTGAGCTCGATCCCGCTGATGAAGATGCTGAAGATCACTGGTCCCAGGATAGACCCCTGGGGGACACCACTCATTGCCAGCCTTCACTTGGACATGAAGCCACTGACCACAACCTTCTGGCTGTGACCATCCAACCAATTCCTTATCCAGTGTATAGTCTACCCTTCACATCTGTCTCTCTCCAATTTAGAGATAAGGATGTGGTGTGGGACCATGTTTTGCTTTGATTCTCCTTAACAAACCTAGCATTTAGAAGCAAAGAACCTGCTAAGTCAGGCTGACATTCTGTTCAGCTGCATTGCTTTGCAAAGTTTATCTGAGCTGTGGGTTTTGTTGTTTGTTTGTTTTTAATTTTGGTGTTGTTGTTGTTGATGCTCTTTTTAATGTTGCTTGGGACCAGGTCATTATTTAAATTATTAAATTATACATCATCATTAAATGACCAGGTCATTGTCATTATTATTCCACTTTGCATCTTCTGCACACTCTTGTGTGGTGCTCCCACGAACTGACAGGTTCATAAAAGACCGATGTTCCACCATCAGTCCCTCCAGGGCTACAGGAAATATAGTATCACCCATAGGCCCCTCCTTGTTAGGCAGCAAAGGACCATTAATTTTAATCCATGGACCACTCTCCAGTTGCAACAGAAGTAAATTTTATCCCTGTTCTCCCCTGTAGCTCAGCCAACCTTTGGTACCTGGAATAATGAATTAAATAAAAGAGGCTTCTGGTAGACTCCATTGAGAATCATGCTGTTTAGAGAAAGACAAGACTTAATGTACTCTGGAGAAAGCTGCTTGGAGTAGGCTGGTGGCTAAACCAATTCTGGACAAAAAGGAGAGTCTGAATCACCTTCAAGTAAAAGTTTATAAATATCTCACATTGCAGCCCTTACAAGGTATTGTCTCCATGGTGAGGGTTGCATGATCTCTTGAAAAGAGGGTCCTGAACAGTGGAATATTTCCTTCCTGACCTAATCATGTAATCATGTAATCTGCTCCAAGGCTGTTTATTTCCATTTGGTCTTTCTTGAAGCCTTCTTCAAAGGACGAGCTTCTTGGCAAGCTTGAATAGACCTAAAGGATTGATTTCATGATTTATGGACATTCTTTTGTTGCTGAACATTTCCTCAGCGATTGTATCAAGAGGAGTTATCTTGTTGCTGTTACTTTTTGTCCTTGTGCACTATGAAATCTTACAACTGGGTGAAATAGTTGTAGGGGGAAATGAAGTTGTAGGGGGAAATGCATTCCTTCATAGCTCCAGTTTTAATCTTCTGTCTTCCCTGTTATTCCATGTAGGACAGCTGATGTCCTTTTACCTTACCTTTCCTATCATATAAAATGGGAAGAGTGATAGTTCTTAAAAGCATATTGTGAAACTTAATTAGTACTTTCAGTGTATTTTTGCCTTCTTTGATCCTTCTGCTGTTAATTTGTGCATTGCTGATAATTTTTCCTGTAGGTATTGCCATGTAAAATTCATTTCAAAAGTGTTTTCTTCCATTGCATTGAGAAATATGCAGATTTTTAACTGAGGTGAACTGGAGATTCATGAAAGGTGCCAAGCATTGGACTGGATGAGACAGGACTTAGTTTGATGTGTGAGTTTTACACTTAGTTTGAAGCATAAGATTGGCTCTGCCTTTTAGGCAGGTGCTCCATGGGATTTAATATACTTCTGAAGTCTGAACTCCTGGTCAAGGCTCTTCTTACTGTTTCTGTGCTGGCCATGTTTACTCTCTGCTCTGTATGGACCCTTCATTTTTTAATATAGCATGTTTTTCAATCAGATTTTGGGTGATGACCCTTTGTGAAGGTAAAATAAACTCAACAATTGAATTAAATGTGTATTTGATATAATTAAGCAAACTGGAAAGAAAAGATTTTCATCTTTAGGTCATTTCATAGTTCCTGAGAGCAATACAGTTTTACTTTGCCATCTCACTTCTGTCTTGCAGAACTTTGGCTATTGCAGTAGCGTGCCCCCAAACTCCTCTGTCATATTTCTGATGGTTGAACTTGTGAGTTTTCTCCTTTTTATCAATAACATTTCCTGACTGGTGGCTAAGCCGGAATTTCAGCTACCAGCAACCAAAGTAACAGGAAACTCTGCTGGCCACTTTTTCTGTTGCTGACAGTGGCAGAGAAACAGCAACATTATGGGCTAAACAAATGACAGAAGATACTGTCTGGAGGAAGAAAGACTCAAGCATCTAGATGAAGTCCCTGCCTATGGCAACATATTGGGCAAATTCTGGTGAGGAGTGGAAGACTTCCTGGGCTGTGGGTGTTGAACAGCCAACAATTACTGCCAGTTAATACTGAAACATGATGAACAGAGCCATAATATACATGGGAAATTTGCACAGTGGCCTCTCTGATTTCTATATGCCTACCTTGAAGAGCAGTTCTACTTCATACTTACCTAACCACCTGCCTTCATGGCTGGTAATTGATGGAAAAAGCAACCGATTTCCTGACTTCTTAGAGCTCAAATTAAAAGGGAAAAACCCAAAGCGTGAATCATTTAAGCCTTGGAGCATTCCAGTAAAGGAGCTGTACTTTGCATCAAAGAAAATGAAAGCTATCAGTTCAGAAGAGTGAGCTTGTGAGAAATCACTGTTTCAGTTTCCATTCAGAAAGAGCCATAGGTTCATTTTATCAGTGCTCACTTGTAGCATTTTGGTAACATTTGGGTTGAACTGTAGCCTAATTTTCAGCTCAATCCCAGTGTTTATAGTTTCTCAAGCTCTCAGTTGAGCTTCAGCTTGATCACTGACGTGGGCTTTGCTGAAGAGATGCTTTTCCCTCAAATCATTCGCATCCACAGAATGTCTACAGCTAGATTTTTTGCTTGAATCTACTCAGAGAAAGCCCTGAAGGAGTGTAAATGTGTAACAAACTTCACCCTGTTAAAACAAAAAGCTTTTAAACTTTGACTATGACGAAGTTTGATACTTAGAAGTGGCTTGAAGACCTTCCCACACAGTTTTAGGAGACGCAGGGTGGCAGTTGGGAGAACAAGGTAATACCCCTTACTGCAGTCATTTGCTTAATCTCAAACTGCTGTGTGCATTACACATACAGGCTCAAAAAGATTTGATGATAAGAGATGATCAGAGGTGGTTGGGGCCCCACTGAGCCCTGGGGATTTCTAAATATTTTAGCTGCAATAAAAAAAACAAGAGTGAAAGAGTAACAGGATAAGAGAATTGCCTGAGGTACAGAAATGTATTCTCATAGCACAGGTTTTGCTCAAACAGAAAGTCACTAAAGATTTGTGCATGCAGTGTTTTGTTATGCTGACTTGTCTGCTCGTGTTTTCTGCAAATTATTAGGATTTTGAAACTGGAGAAGGTAAAAGAAAGTATTTTCACAGGGCTTCCTTCCTCTTTTTCTTTCTTTCTTTTTGTTTTCTTCTCAAAGAAAGGGAAATTACACCTGTTTTTCTGAATAACTTTTGATTTTCTTTTTTCCCCAGGGTTCAGTCCAACATGGCAGAAGTTGGGAGAGCTTATGAGAAAGAGGCATAATTTATTTTGCTTGTGGACATACTTTTCTTTGTTTTTCCCACATCTGTCGATGCATCTGGTTTTACAGTATAGCCAGCTTTCCATTTTCTTGATTTACAAGAGGCCAGCGTAGGCTGCATAGATGGAAAGCTGGGATAAAAGAGGGACCATGGGACCATGCAAATCTTTTTCAGGTGACTTTGCAGACATCCCCTGGGTGATCAGCCTGCAGCTAACTGAGAACACGTGTATGAAATGAAATGCTTAATTATTCTGGTTTGCAGCAATGCTTCATTTTCCTTGCCAGGAAAATGATGCAGAGTGTAAAGATGATTCTGAAGGTGTTCAAAATCTGAATGAAGTTCTGTGAAAGGATTAAAATGAATAGATGCAATTTGACCTGGCCCCACTTGAAGTGTTTGGGTTGTTTGTCTTGGAGGGCAGAAGGCAATAAGGAGAATGTGGGGACATGTCCTTGGTTAGGGCAAGCAAGAAAAGCAATTGGCAAGAGATTATTCACCACAGAGTACTGCTCTGTGCTGCCATCCGAAGAAAAGCCATGGTTTTTCAAAGCAATGCCTACTTGAATGAGGCTGGAAAGTTGTTAAGTGTGAATGCTGCTTTCTATGCATGGTTTAAGCACAGGTTAATGGTTTTATTTGTATTACTTACAGAGTATTTTACAATGTTCTTTTTTTTTTTTCCTGAAAAGGATCAGGCAATAAATATAGCAAGCAAATTGAGAAGGGTTTCTCATTGAGGCATATGTACAGCTGAGGTCAGAATCACAAGGCATCAATTGCAGTGGCTCATTCAAAGCAGCAGCCAGTGAAGAATCATTCATCTGCAGGTCCTTATTCACCTCTCAGTCTGAAAGAAGCTTGGTTTCCAATTTCTAATCGCCTCCTATTCATTCTGCAGCTTCTTCACTTTCTATTGGGATTGTATTCAGGTACCTTCTTCCTGTCACTGCATGCCGACGTCCTGATGATGATGCCAGGATTTCTTAGGGATGATTGGTGGTGGCTGAAGTGTCACAGTATCAAGGTTTTTCTCTGGCTGGAACAGATAGCCAGAACATGTTTTGGTCATGTGAATATACTGTTTGTAACGTGACTGTTATCTGCCAAATATTTGTACACTAGAGAGACACAAACTGGTCTGAAAAAAATACCTTCTGTAGGTGGAAGAGTAATTTTTCATAATCTTCTGCTGTGGAACAATTGATAAGGATTGGTTCTGTCAGGCTTCCTGCAAGACATCAGCAGGGAGCAGTTAGGAGCTGGATGCAAACGCCTATGGCAAGGGAAGTCACAAGGGCTGTTCCCACACAAGGTTAGATCCCCTCCCTACAGCCAGCATCCTACTGCCAAGTCGATTTGGCTTTTAACCACAAGAAGGCTGAGATTCCCCATGATAGAAAAGATGGAGGTCTTGGAGGGAAATGTGGAGAGCTATTACAGCTTAGCAGCCAGAAACCTAAGAAGCCCGTAAAGAGCATCTGTCTGGTTGCAGCTAGAAGCGGAATCTGACTTTGACTGGATACTGTCTCCTGTGGTAGATCCAAATGTCACATCTGTGAGGAGGATTCTGTGCTGAATCTGTGGGCACTGGAAGGCTTTTTGTTTCTTATAAAAGCAGTCTTTCCTTCCAGAAAATGCTACTGGACTTACCTGTAATTTCAAGCTGTAACCTCCCCAGCACAGTGGATTTCTCCTTTCCCTGGATTCCCATCAAGGGGAGTTTTCCCTTCAGAAATGAAAAGAAAACACTGCTTTTCTATGCTTTCTTCCTTTTTTTTCCCCTGCTGTTTATTTTCATCACCCAGAGCTGCTCA